TCTTTAAGTTTACGGGTGTGTGATGCTACAGGGAATATGGTTCAACTGTAGGTGGACTCTTAGCTGCTAGGCAACACTATGGATCACTTTTGAATTTGTGGGAATGTACATGTCACCATTCAAAGTAGCATATCTTAGTTCCATGTCCAGCTTTATAGCATCGTTGTGAGTATTATCGATTATACATTTCGAGTTACGTTAATTTTTTTCTCGTTTAGTGAAGGATTTTATGCTTTTCCGGAGTCACATTTTTACTTGTGTCACTGTAATTTGAAATAACCGCCCCATCTTTTTATTATACTATTCCTGCGTGTCAAGAAATCTATAATGGCAATTTGGATCATTGATACATTCATGATTTAGGTTTATTTATTATTTTTTTTTTTTATTTACTGGGGCTTCCGACATCTAGATCATTTCAGCTCCAAACTAAGTCAATATTCTATTTACACTTTCAAACTCCACATTCATACAAATAAATACATTCATTCCGTTTGGTCGGTGGACTTAATATTCCTCCACCGACCTATACTCAAACTAATCTAGATTGGGGTCGATGTAGTACTTTTATAAATATTCCCTCATCGACCCCGAACACACACTCATACGCTCTCAACGTTCGAGGGGCAATAAAGACGTTATATTTCACCCTCACCCCTCGCCATTCACGCTAATAAATACATGCACTCAAACAAAACATATAGACACACAACACGTAAGACATACTATATACAATTTAAAAAAACAATTTCCCCTAAAAAGCGGAACAGGGGACCCTGAAACTCGCTGCAGTGCTCGAGAACCTTTCTTAAGTCCGGCGGTATGCCTACACGCTCTCTGTATGGTGCAAAGTCATGACACGCCTCAATTATGTGGGACACATCGAGCAACCTTTCTCTGCATAAGGGGCACCTGCGCGGGCTTTGGCCCAAAAGCAGGTGCCCATGTGTCAACCGCATATGGCCAATCCTCAGTCGATTGAGGACGATCCCTCGTCTCCTGCTCAGGTTCTCTGAGGGCCATCTACCAGTCGTGCTCTTGACTCGCAAGAGCCTCTCCGACGACCCCGCCGACTGACGCTGCCATCAAGGGTTTATTTGCGTATTATATATAATACATGTATATATACATTTCATTTCACATTATGAAAAACAATTGTTAAATCAATTATACAAATATGCTTTTCGTAGTGTGAAATTAAACTAGGCCCTGATGATGACATTAAAATAAGTCGAAAATTTAGCTGAACTGAATTTACTTTTTCCTTCTAGACCATACCTTGATCCAGAGTGTTCGTGAATTATTTTGGTTTCATTTCTTTTAATTTAATAACATTATTAATTATAATATTGGTTTTTTTCACATTTTTTAACAATGTTTTCTTTTAACTTTTACATGATTTCATAGTTTCAACGATTTTTTGAATGTTTTAATTACAATATGTTTAATAATGAATAAAAAATTTATTTCAACAATTAATTTTGTATTTTAAGTAACTAATTAGCCCTGATTCCAGGAGTAAAGCACATTAGTTTGGGTCGAAATAATCTTAGTAGCAAACAACTTAAATTAATGAGAGTCAATATGTGCAAGAAAAGTGTACCACTAAAAAAGGGGTAGTTTTTAAGGGTAGAACAGCAGATTTTTAAAGTTTAGTGTTTTCGTTTAGGTCTTGGTCAAATGAAAGACAATATTGAGAGATAGTAATGGCATATACTTAATATACAAGTAAAAAAAAGTAAACGTCCATTTGTCTTTCCTGTATAATTTGTTGGGTTGTGTCACTTTTCTCGTGGCTGTGCGATATTTCATTGTATATAATTTGTACACTCCTCAGTCATAAAAAATTAAGAAATAGACAATTTTAAACTGAAATTGAAAAACGAATCAAAGAAATAAAAGCGACTTTGATTATGTTCATGTCCGGCTAATTCTGTGCCCTAACACACTATCATCAATGCGGATATTACATACCTGTACAATTACAGTTACCGGTTAACAAATACTTTAGGATCTGTACGACCAGAGTTGAGCTACCGGTAAGTAATGGCTAAGACCGTACCCAGTGTATGATAGTAGATTAAAGACAGCTTTTCGACCGCTAACTAATAATCAGAGCGAGCGAGTACATTAAGGAGAGGTTAATGTATACAGGAACCCGAGTTTTGGTTTTTTAAATATATGTTAACTAGTAATCCTGGCGATGAAAACTAAGCCCCGATCCATGGGAACTTGGACGTCTAGAGATCACTGAGGTATCTCGCATAAATCGGCTGTATTACAATTAATGATGGGGAGCCGGTAAACGGACAAATGATAGTAGGTCGGATCAAGATAACGTTCTGTCGAGGTATATTGTTTGCTCTCTAATAACACGGGCCTGACTACTGAATAATGATGACTACAACTACTAATCATACTCCACTACACCACTCTTCACATTTCTAAATTCCGATTTTAATTTTATTGGATTATACGTTTGATTGTTTTCACGGATATCGGTTAGTGTTCACATCAAAAACTCATTTTTAAACTACGATTGCAGGAGAGTAACCAAAGGCCATTCATGCCAAATAATATGCAGTTGGTCTATTTAGAAAAACGATGCTTGTAAGCGTTAGCATCGTATAAAACAAGTATTTTTTATTGTTGTTTTTTTACTCATTGCAGTTTTAGTTAATGGTTGTCAATCCGTTTGTTGGCAACATCAAAAATCTGAAATGGCTCAAAGGTGCCTGGACCCTCATCACACCGCTATATACCAATGAACAAGCAATTCTTGAACAATGAAGCAGTGCTTTTTTGTATGACAGGAAATTATTCGCACCAGTTTCAAATAACTTTCTAATACATACAATAGAAGTCTAAAAAGTTAGTGTCTGAAACTTGAAGTTCTTTAGCAGCAATAAACAGCAGTAGAATTTTTTTTCGTTCCTTCATGCAGACACACCTAACAAAAAGTTTATTCTTATTTGTAATGTACTATACGACCCATATATTAAATCAATTGTGCACATTACAGTGCTTCAAATGTATTCCAGCGTTTCTTTTGTGCCTATTTCAAACATTTCAGTTATTTTTAATATCATTGTTGACCTGGACTTATCAGTAGAAAGTAGATTGGTATGGTAGCTTTTGACACGCCAAAACGAGTATAACATCAAAATTTTTGTTTATTGTGTTGTGTTGTGTGTGTGTTGGATCGTTTTGTTTATATTATTTTATTTTTATTCTATTGTCTATTTACATTGTAAAAATTAACAGTCTCATGAACTAAGTACCTATTTTATCTAAGGTCTTAGTTGAGATGAAAAAGCTAGCATCACGAGCGGGATTCAAACCCACGACCTTCAGCTCAATATGCCACTGCTCTAACCGCTTGAGCTATCGTGACACTAACTCCTCCAAATTTGAAAGGTAGGTTAAGATATGAAGTTGGTTTGAGTGAATCAAAGTCACAATGCTCAAGTGGTTAGAGCAGTGGCATTTTGAGCCAAAAGTCTTGTGTTTAAATCCCACTCGTGACACAAGCTTTTTATCTCAACCAACCAAAACCTTAATAAAAAGTATAACTAATTTAAATAATTAATACAAAGTTTTGCAGCCTTATGAAATAAAAATCAATAATGAACATTTTTTTTGAGACAGAAATGAACTAATGAAATGAATAAATATTCATTTGAAAAATGATCAACTTGTTATTGTAACTGATCTATAAAATTGTTAGATAATAACTTTTCATGTAATAAAATAATATCATGTATTCATTGCAGGTGGTTTTGACAGTAAATTGGAGTTTATTTGATTATCCTTTATAAAGGAGTCGTATTTAATCTAAAATATTTAACCGCCACCGCAAACTGGCCAGCCAAATTTTAAAGGTCACAAGTGCCAAAACTTTTACTAAACTTAAATCGACTCAGGTGCAATTTTCTTAATTTCCTAACTAAAACAAAATTATTGGTAATTACCAAGTGCAAAACGTACTCCACTCAGAATAAGCCAATATTAGTGTAATTTGATCATTACCAATCAAAATGATTATTTTGGGCCACCTATCTATGCTGGATTTGTACATCAGATTGGTTTCAGCATTTCACTATCTTCAGTGTGTTTGTGTAATTTCTGGTAGAACAAAATGATTAGTAATGATTAGTAATGATTACAAGTTCATCAGCCTTTACCACATGAACAAATCTCACAATATTACTGTGATGAATATTATCATAATCATGCATCAAAAGCACTTGTTAAAAATAAATAAAATCATATTTTGTGAATATAATAATAATACGAGCCTTTATTTGCAATATAAAATAAAAAATTTAATAAAAAGTGTTATTAGATATAGATCCGTTAAATTTCGTGGTCCGATTGACCAAATTACTTCTTTTCAGTTAATTAATATTTTTGCAATGAATTAAATAGATTACACGACATTTGAAAAATGGCAGAAAGGAGGGAAAATTCGCAAGGTGGGTTGAGATGGGAAGTTAGTGTCCGAGTGGATCGATGACACGATAGCTCAAGTGGTAGAGCAGCGGCGTATGTAGCCAAAGGTCGTGGGTTCGAATCCCGCTCGAGACACTTACTTTTTCATCTCAACCAATATCTTGCATAAAGATTAATTAGACATAGAATTAAAAGGAATTTTCAGGTCAAAACCACCAGTTCAAAGAGGGAAAAATTGGAAAAAAAAACCTCACTGTAATAATAAAATAGAAGAAGAAAGATTTCCTGTAATAATTGAAAAGGATAGTACTAACCACAAACTGTTTTATAACCCATCAAATGAGTTGACTAGCAATGAATAAAAATGGCTATGATGGAGTGATCTATACCCACAAACAGTTTGTAAATAGAATCACTTTTTTTTTTTAATTGATATACTCACTCCATCATAGCCATTTCTACTAATAACTTTCCTGATGTTAAAAATAAAAAGGTATTTTAATAGAACCTTTTCTTATGTTTTATTAAGAATTTAAAATAATAAATACCTTCTTCTTTGAAAGCAGCTATGGCGTGATCTATAACAAGCCAAGGGTGTGGGAGGTCAAGAAAAACTGCATCGGCCCCACCCTCGATGCCAAACCCATTTTGACAGACATCCCTGTGCGACACACTCACAACATCGATTATGCCGTGCTCAACAAACTCTTCTTTGGCAACTGAGACACGTTGCTCGTGAAAATCAAATGAGTATACAAAACCGTTTGGCATTACTCTTCGGGCTAAAGCATGTGTTAAAGAGCCACTCCCAGTCCCTGCAATTTAAAAAAATATAAACTTGAACCACATTTTTAAAAAATAATATATCAGTGTGCTACACTGATATATAAAAAAAGCCTACAGCTCTGATATTCAATATAAAAAAAGCCTGCCAGTTGTTTATGCTTTTACTTGAAACTGTTATTACGGGACTAACAGTTGTATTTGTAGTCATTAATGACTACATATAGTAGTGTACATATCCCTTTTATACATTTTAGTGAACATAACTTCTATATTCTAAATAAACACCACACAAAATTCACACTTTTAAAAAATTACTCCATATGTGTTTAGCAGACAAAATTTACCAAATTAATTATATTTATCTAAAGTCTTGGTTGAGTTGAAAAAGTTAGTGTCACATAGTCACAATAGCACAAGGGGTTAGAGGAGTGGCACATTGAGCCAAAGGCCATGGGTTCGAATCCCACTTTTTCTCAATCAAGATCTTAAATAAAAAGTATAATTAATTTTTTTTTAATTATAAAAATTGCATTTACTATTACCAGATTCAATTACGATGCTTCCTGGTTTGATTTCCAGTTGAAAGAGTATCATGCTGATATCAGGGGTGTATATGATCTGGGTCCTGTGAGGTAGTGTAAGGGTCCATAGCTCTGGAGTAGGCAAGAGTATGAATGCCCACCCCTTGCTTAACTCTACCTTCGATCCATATTTCACTCCTATCAAAGAAGCAACTTTCAGCGCACCATACACTGTCTGGAACACATTTTCAATCATCTCCCCATGCTTGTTTTGGATGCTGTTAGTCACTTTCAGTGCATGGAGACTCGTTGCGCTGATGTAGAGAATGACTGTATCTCCCTCCTCGACCTTATCCTTGCTTATAGAGAAACTCATCCAGGCCTGGGGAAATTTACTACAATTCTTTATAACCTTATATAAAAATTTCCAGAAATTTTAAAAATGTTTACACCTGCACAATATTTTTGTCATCTCTCACTTAAGAAAGACAAATAACCTTTGATTATTTTAAATCATTATAGATTAAAATATATACAAGTTTCTAGAAGAAAAGAAATTATTATTATTGCCTTTTGTAGAAAAGATATAAAACAACAATTATGCATTATAAAATTGTTTTACCAACATATAAAGATAAAAATCACTTTAATTACTTAAGTGATTATTTTCAAGTTTGATTACATTGAATTTTTAATATTATTCCATCCATGCTCTGCTCTAAACAGATGTGAATGAAGTATTGACTGCCCTACTTACGGAACCAGTTAACTTTTAATAAAAGTTGGAATAAATTGTAAGACAATTTTTTTTTTTGCTATATGGTTGTACCATGTAGAACCCAAGCTGTTTAGCATCTTGAAAAAATTCCTGCAAGTACTTTACCATTACTACCAAAAAATACACTAATTATTAATTACTAATAAACTCCAGACTCATGTCATACAATTTCCTAACAACCTAACGCATTTAATCAGCAATGGCCTAACCAACAGGAAATTCTTTGTACATATTGATGGCATAAAGTCACCTTTAAGAAGTATAAAAGTCGGGGTCCTCCGGGGTATGTTCTTTGACCAACCTTATTAACAACTGTTGTATAAATGATGTTTACAAGCTAAAAACTACAGCTGAATTGACTCGCTTTGCTGATGATACAGAACATATAAGAGCGTTCATTGTGGAATAAGAATACAAAATCCCTTGAAATGGAGCCCTGACTTATTTTAATTACCAGATTGAGGAAAAAAAATAACAAGCTAGATGGATGACCTAAGGAGCCTTTAAGGACTCTTTAATCTTTAGATTTAGAATGGACAGTAAAAATAAAAAGCTTATTTATCAACTATACATATGTCCATTAATAACTTACAGCACTTGCATTTGGAGAAATATATCTAAATCTAATTTTGCAAATTCCAGGTAGTCCAAAATGCAGTTTTAAGAATTATTGGAGGGTTTCCACATTGGACTGCATGCATGTAACCCTAAACATACAACCCATCCTCTATATAGCAATTGTAAAAATATATTTATTTATAATAAACTACCATAAATACAACCCTAACAGACATAAGCACATATTGTTTGAAAAATAATGAACATGTTTTAAAAAATAATGTGTTAATGGGCCAACACTGGACTCTAACCACTTGAGCTTCCGCGACTTTGATCACCCATGATATAAACTTCTCATTTTCGATTGTATTACAATATTGGGTCTGTCTTCACACGTGTGATTCTAGATTAATGTACTATTTCTTATTTTTATTATATATGTACAAATTAATTATATATGGTTTTTAAAATGAAAAATATGTGTCACAGGCAGGAATAGAACCCACGATCTTCAGATCAATACCCTAATGCTCTAACCACTTGAGCAACCATGATCACCCATGCCACAAACTGCAGCATAAATAAATTAAGCTCATAAAAAATAAATAAAGAACATGTAATCAAACAGGGAGCTTGTCCAATATACTCCTTCACTGCAGGGTTACTGTGGTGGAGAAATAATTTTTTTTTAAATTTCATTACGATTTCCCGTTTTATTCCAACTGTAAGCAAACTGCGGCTTCACTTAGAAGCACATAACAATTGTATTACAATATTGGGCCTGTTTTCACACGTGTGATTCTAGATTAATGTACTATTTCTTATTTTTATTGCCATATTTATATTTTTATTATAGATGTGAAAATTAATTATATATGGTTTTTAGAATGCAAAATTTCTGTCACAGGTGGGATTCAAACCCATGATTTTTGGATCAATACCCTTATGCTCTAACCACTTGAGCAACCGTGATCGCCCATGCCACAAACTGCAGCATAGAAAGCATAGGATAAAGAACATGTAAACAAACAGGGAGCATGTCAAATATACTCCACCATAGGGTTATTGTGGTGGAGAAATAATTTTAAAAAAACATCTCATTTCGATTTCCCATTTTATTCCAAATGTAAACAAACTGTGATTTCACTTAGAAGCACATAACAATTGTACTACAACATTGGGTCTGTCTTCATACGTGTGATTCTACATTAATGTTCTATTTCTTATTTCTACTGACATTTAAATATTTTTATTATATATGTGAAAATTAATTATATATGGTTTTTAGAAATGAAAAAATTGGGTCATATGCGAGATTTGAACCCACGATCTTCAGATCAATACCCTGATGCTCTAACCACCTGAGCTACTGTGATCGCCCATGCCACAAACTTCCCATTTTGATCGAAGTCCCAGCACCTCATTGGTTAGCGTTAAGAGTATGATCCAAAGATCATGGGTTCGAATCCCAATTGTAACACAAATTTTTCATTTCTAAAAACCGTGTATAATTTATTTTAATATAATAAAAATGACAATAAAAAAAGAAATAGTAAATTTAAAATACAAATAATTCATTACTAGGAAAAACACTTGCATCCAAGCATTACAATCTGATAATGTTTTATAACTTATAAACATACATACAAACAAATTTGCATTCATTTGGAATATCCAGAGTTAATAAAAATTTAGTTGTTTTGTCAGTTTATATTTTTACCTGGTTGAATAACTGAGAGGGAAAATATGCGACGATCAAGCCAACTTCATAACTTCAAATAATCAAATCTCAAAAAACTGGGGACGGTTTGTCAACGACCATGTGTTGATGGTCCAGGGTCCAGCCCACCAAAAAGGTTTTACCGAGGTTATCGTATTGATAAGGAAGAAGGCGTTGTAATATGAGAGTTACTTCTTGTTTTTGTCTTATTTTCAATTTGGCATTATGAACTTTGCATTCCTTGGGATTCTAATACTGGGCTTCGCTTCATTAAGCTCTGGGGATGAGCCGAAAAAAAAGCTTCAGATCGGCATTAAGAAGCGTGTCGAAAATTGCAAAGTCAAGTCAGCGAAAGGTGACCTTCTTCACATGCATTATACAGTGAGAGATGGTTTATTTTACATACAAATTTAAATTCGTACTTTTACAACAAAAAAATTCTTTTAAAGGGGAAGCTTGAAGATGGAACGGTTTTTGACAGCAGCGTTGAACGGAACCAGCCGCTGACATTCACTCTTGGCTCCGGTCAGGTGATCAAAGGCTGGGACCAAGGATTGATAGGGTATTTTCTCTTTTTAATAAACTGTCAAAAGTCCTTTTGAGTCAATTTGTTTTTCCCTTTTAGGATGTGCGTCGGTGAGAAGAGAAAACTGGTCATCCCGCCTGAGCTAGGCTATGGAACACAGGGCGCACCTCCAAAAATTCCAGGAAATGCTGTGCTCGTTTTTGAAGTGGAACTGACCAAAATTGAAAAGAAGGACGAGTTATAAAGACTAGTGGCGATTTCCATTTAATACATATAATACAAATAAAATTTTATTACATTTAATTGTGTCTTGCCCAGTTATATTTCTTTAGTGATATGTTAAGCCTTATTTTATTAACGTTTTACAAATGCCGATTACCTTTTATACCTTTATTAAAGAACAATAATCGTTTTTAAAATGTATCAACAATATTGTATATTTTTAGCTGGTCCTATTAACCAAAGAATTATTTTAATTGGTTTAATTTTTATGCAAAGTATGGTTGAGTTGGAAAATTAGTGTAACGAGCAGGACTCGTACCAACAACATACCCTGGTGCTCTACCACTTGAGCTATCATGACTTCATCATTTTGGCCAACTACAGTATAAATTCATTTATCTGGGACTTGAAGGGTCTGGGACTTGTCTGGATGGTCGAAAGTCCGGATAATCCGACAAGTTGTGAGTTTTGTAGTATCGTGTCACAAAAATGGAAAAACATGCAAAAGTGAACACTTTTATTCATATATAAAGTAACATTTAAAGTAATAGTTTTTATTACTTTTATTTTTGTTTATGTCCGGACAGTCATTTCTTGAAAAATTTATACGTAAAAAATATCTAATAAAAATATATGTAACAAAAAAAAACTTTTTTTTGGAAATGCCAAAAAACCCATTTTAAACAATGAATTACATAAATTGGGCAGTCAAAGAGATACAAAACGTTTTTATCAATATATTGTACACATTAGGCGAGGCCTCCTATGTCCAGTAGAATGGGACAAATTAAATTATACGTGATCAAAAGTTAAATTTATCATTGATAAAAAACAAAGTATATTACATAAAAAAGTTAAAAACTTAAAGTACGTACACTTAAAAATAAAAATACTCATAAAGACCCAAAAACTCCAGTTAAATTTTACCAAAGGGTTATAAACTTAACAAACATGGTACTAAATAAAGAAGAGAATTTATTAAACAAAGGCTTCAAATTTGTCCCTAAAACAGAATTAGATTTAAAAAAAATGACTATCCCTTGGTTCATCGGTAGATTGTTGTTACATAAATACAAATATAAAATATAAATGTGCAGAAATAATTAAACGAAACTTGGTAAATCTAAATGTCAGAAAATTAAACAGGTGGATATCCTAACAATGTGCAACTGTGGGGTTCAAGTTATGGAGCTGAAAACGTTTTGAAAATAAAAAGAGGACCCAGCAATTTGGCTGTTTTATTATTCAAGAATTACCTATATAGTATAAATGTTTTTCAAATATGAAACAAAGACATTGGATTTTGTTGTTTGTTTTATTCATTCCTGGGTTCCTGGTGATTTAAAGACCTCCTTCAGCCTAAATGACCCATGGTGGTTGAAGTCCATTAATTTTAAAACAGCCCTCCCTGTCCCCTTTTCAATGACACCCTCCCTCAACATAACCATTCCAGAACCCAGACTTCATTTTTAAAATACAAAAATAAAAACATTATGACCAAGCTTAAGTTTCACCATATTCTTTTAAGAATGTATTATCTTTTTTCCCATAAAAACATAGATTATAAACATAATAATAATAAAGTTTTAGATTTGCCTGTTTTAAGTTGGAATTCCATTGGGCAATAACCAGAAGGTTATGATCTCTCTTCCTGTCTGACGCATAAACTGTTTTGTTAGCCTGATATGACATTTACTTTTTCTCCATCGCCTATTCTTCGTTGGGTATATTTTTTGAAAGGAGGCTAATAGTTTAAAAGTACTTAACCCTACTTAAGCAGTTCACCATATCTTAGCCCACCTATTTCTACTATCTATAAAAGTACACTTTCAGGAAGAGAACCATACGTTACATTTCTGGTGTTCTGATCTCCATTTTTACCTCTCAAAGATACCAAGACAACCAAGGTAGCTGAAAGATTTTTTGTGAAAAAATGCTTGCCAGTATTAACAAACTTAGTTGAGGGACTAAAAGGAAACCCCAAATATGTGAAACTATTACAAAACCATGTAATAACAGATATCTAAAGTTATCAGAATTACCATCCTTAGAAATTACCGTAGCAAACGTTTTATCAACATTAAGTTTGAGGTATCACAGTATCCTTCAAGTATTCCAAGATTTTTTGGACTTCCTGACATGATGATCATAGTAGTACATATCTTCTGCATATAATAGAATAATCAAGTCTTTAATATTATACATTGGAATTTCCGTTGCATGATAAAGTAGTCAAGATTTCGGAGACAAATAATGCGAACAGAAGAGGGCTCAAAATTTATCCCTGAAGTACTCCCTCAGATACGTAAATCTTTTCCAAAGTTTCATCTTCGTCATTAACAATCAATGAAGCCTGCCCATAGATACTAATAATAGTTTTCAAGATTTTGCAACTAATTCCTAAATTATTTCCACAACTTTTTATGATTAATTGGGTAAAATGCTATTTTGTATATATCGCAAACACTTTGTGCCTTTTTAATCTAATGTTAATTACTTTGTTAATGATCCCCATCTGTTCTCCTGGTAACATGTAACCCTTAACCCAATTGTAAAGTCTTTTATAGATAATATTTGTCAAAATTTTTGTTATTGATTGAAAATAGGGGTCAAGTAGATCACATTTTTATGCAACATTTTCATCCTAATTAGGCCCCAAGATTTGGGTGCTGATTCATTCTGAAAAACTTAATTGAAAAGCTCTGTTAAAAATTCAAACCGAGGGATCCATTTAGCTTTCTTTGCGCTTTCTGCTACTTCATTAAGTGTATGCATGGACATGCACATATGGGCCGTAGAATTTGTAATTTACTTCAATTTTTCCAGGGAGAATGTGTATAATTTATTTATAATCCCAATCCTTGCAAGAAAAATGAGTTGTTCTGGAACTTTGGGGTCTAAATTTTTTAATAACCATACAAAATTCCTTTTTTTTCTTCAAATAAACTTGAAATTATCCCTATAGGTCTCTTTGCTAGGTTCGGAATTTTTTGTTAACACCATCATTTGGTACCTTGCTGATTACAGTTTTACATGGAATGCCATATCAGACTCTCCATTTGAAACATCTTGCAACCCTGAACAATGTCTCAGGTGTTGCACGTTCATGTTGTTGATTTGACATAGTGAGAAGGTGGGGCTATTTACTAAATTCAGACTATGCAGATGGGATTGCAAATAATCGTGCCCTGTGACATGCAGCTACCATATCAGCATGTTGCAGAATTGTTGGCAGCATGTTCTCCAGGAGGGTGATCCATTGCTTCCTTGTGCTAGGTTATTATGCCTTTCCCAACAAATTTCTTTCGTCTGTAACTTAACAATCCTTTTAGCAGAGGAGAGTGAGAGTAAGGGTTGTGATTGAAGCTTCAGTGCTCCCTGCCAAGTCAGGTCATGTGCCTGCTCGATGCCATGGAGGCCACAATAGCTTAGTACCCACTGCAATACCACTGTTACCTTGTTCAATGAGTCTGTTTATTTTTGCCTCACCTACACCACTTCTTGGTGGTCTATAGTATCCTATTTGCCACTGCCTTTATAGCAGCTGAGTCCACCAGAAGTACAATCTGCAATAGAGGGACTCTTCTTAAAACCTCTTCTTATCTAAGGACATCTTCTTCACTCTGCCAGCAAAATTGGTTAAATTGGCAGAGGAGAGCTTCACCCCTGCTCCAGCATCTTTATTGGCTGATTGAGCTGAGCCATTTATGTACAAATGAATCCAATCATTGGCAGGAAGCGCTTGTCGATGGTTTCTAATGCCAACACTCGCAAAGTTGACACTCGGTTGTATTGGATTTGCTTAATGGCTGCAGAAGTGGTAACTCTGCCACATATTCTATGGGAGAGTATGACAGGCACAGGTTGCCTTTCACAAACTTGAATATATGCTGCTCTGCTACTTCTTTTAATGCACTTTTTTAAAAGGTCTTACGTTCAATAACCCTAGTTGGTATGTTTTTATTATAATTTATTAAAAAGAAATATTTTTCTTGTATTGCCGGACTTTGTGGAATGAACGAACAGGTTTCATGACATCACCAGACGTCACTAACCTGGTGACAGTCTGCCAAGTTTCATTATCAATCGTCCTTGCTGGCAATCCGTAAACATACATTATTGAGTCTGTTTAATATTTTTAATTTATCCATTTTGTAATTAACTCGCCTTCGAAATGGAGGTTGAAGAGTACACTCCTTCCGATTCGTTTTCCTTACAAAAGAAGTTGTACTTTCTCAACGAACAACTGCAGATCATGGCGAGGGACTTGCCATGGTAAGTTAACATTTTAACTTTTACACGATATTTGGAATATTGCCTTTAGTAAGTGATAGTTAAACATGAAATTTAGGAAGATTCAACAAAGGATTCCCAACGAGTTGTTATGCGCGCTTGCTGAATCTCTCCTCGACAACACCGTGTTCCGGATAGTCAACACTTTGATGGATATACAGCATGTCACTGAGAAGCAGATATTTCACCAGAGACTACAAGTGACTTATAATCAAACACGTAAGCACTTTTTTGTTTAATGTTTTCCAAAATAGCTAACAAAATTTATTTAGTCGAGATACAAAATATGATCCTTAAACACCAAGACACTGCCGTGCAGTTTGCCAACACTCAGACACTGAAGCTTAAACACAAAATAGAGCTGAAAGAATTTGATAAGAAATCTATTCAGCAATTGGACGAAAAGGTAAGCGATTCGCAGTTTATAAGGTAACAATAACCAAAGCGTCTTTTTTTTTCCAGCTTCATGACCAGCAGAGGTTTCTGGAAAAAGCCGGAGTCCCCGGGTTTGAGGTGACCGACAACCCGATGCAAATACAAGTTCAGATCAGGCTTTTAGATTTCATCCTTCGCCTCAGTAGAATGGACCTCCCAGATTGTTAATGACTTTTTCGTCAAATAAACTTTTTTGCTACATATATTTTTGTAATGGACCTCTGTATTATTATATTGTAAATATTTTATATGAAATGTAAATAAAAATATGATTGTTTTTATGCTATTTTATTTTTGTAAGCATTACATGGATTAAATTCATCAGTTTTTATTTGTTCGTATATTATATGTTATAATAAAGATTATGCTGAACCAGCACTGGGGCACTTGGGCATTGGGTCTTCATTCACAGTTTGTTAAAATGCTCTAAACACTTTTAGCATTGCGCCATCTTCAGTGAGGAACTGAGAGAGAAATTCCTGAAGGTTCCGCAATGCCAAAACGTGTTTGAGTAGATCAATAAACCCAATAGTGAAGATGGACTCAGTGCTGTTTCAGCATTTCACTGATCAGTTAAGATCAACACCAAGCATCAACTACACTGACGGATAAAATAAATGCACACCCTTAAATTTTAATTTAAGAAGAAGAAGAAAAATAACTTTATTCTGGGACTGGTGTCCCCTAAGAATAATTTACATGAAATAAATAAAGGAAGTTCCTTCTATGAAGTTTAAAGTAAAAAAAAGATAGAAATCTTGGCACAATGTATATCAGTAAGGCAGGCCAGAAGAGAAAATTACAAGAATATAAAACAAAAATAAATGTTAACGTGAGGTCTCTGCTTGGAGGGAGAGGAGGTGATTATACAGGTGGGATTTAAAGGAGGCAGCATAACGAATAGAAAGGGGAAGGAGTTCCAGAGTTTAGGGGCTCAGATCAGAAAAGATCTTTCGAAGGTATGGGTTGTATGTTGCGGATGAGGGGGTCTTACGAGTGTGATGTGAGGAGTTGAATTGGAGGGATTGGACGATGTAAGGAGGACGACGAGTGTGGATGGACTGGAAAAGAAAGCAACCTAGGAATTACTGTGCACGGAAGGAGGGGACTAGCCAGGTAAGTTGGGAAATATAACTCCAACACCCGGGACCCCCGTGGAGTGCCAAAAACGAATCTTATGCAACAATTCATAATACAATCGCACGTTCCCCCCTCTGAGAGACCACCGTATGCCACACAGCTATAATCGAAGAAGGGAAGATACAAGGAGTTTGCGGTTTTTTTTTAACAAAGGTTCGCAACAGCAGAGGTCATATAAACCATCAGGGTGCCGGTGCTTTTGAAAAAAATCCCATTTGTATGTCAGGTTCGAATGCAGGGCCGCTGGATTCGAACCCGGGACCTTTACCTTACAGTGATGAGCGCCGTGTCAAAGACTAAACCTTGCAGCCACCAACGCCCCCTCCTAGGTTTTTAACCGAAGAGCAGAAGGGAATGGGATGGTTATTTAGCATGAGAGGTGGGGTGCTAGGGAGGGAATTGAGGAGTTGTCTGGACCTGATAATTATGGCGGTGGATTTGGTCGGATTGAGGACTAGGGAATTTTTATGGGCCCATTCGTTGATGGAGTTTAGGTCTTTTTGGATCTTGAGAATGGCCGAGTGAAGATCGGAAGGGTGGAAGGATATGTAAATCTGGGAGTCATCAGCATATAGGTGAGAGTTAATTTATTTAGGTTCATTCATATTTTACATACCAACAATAGGTTTTGTTTTAAAAATAAGACATTTAAAAATAAAATATTTATTACCTCCAAAAAAAAAAACTATTATTGAGTAAAAAAACAAAAAAATCAAAAACCATGTTAAAAAAGTTTTTCCCCCCTTTAATACTCTGGCACAAATCTCATTTTTTCTATTTGATAAAAACATTTAAGTGTGTATCACCAGAAAACTAAAAAAAAAACTATTGTACTAACCTTACTGAAGATGACGCAAAGAAAAACGAATTAGAAACGCTGGTTCAACATCTGTTCATCAAATCACCCACTACAATCTTTATCTTATTAATCATTAAAAAAGATGACATTTAAAAAAATTAATTTCATAATTTCATTAGGTTAATTTGATTGTGTCCATTGCACATTGAAAGAAAAGGAAAATGTTTAGAGGATTTAATTTACAGGAAAACCAAGTTACTCATTTTAATTAATCTTACGAGCTTTGAGATTATTAATGAATTTGTGGTCTGTAGAATATGAATATATTTTATTTAACATTTATTGTTCTTAATATATTGTGCATAGCAGTTCTCAAAGTAAATATATTGAGAGTTATGTTGATATAGGGTAAAACAACATAATAAAGTCAATAATAAAAATGAATTGTTTATTTACATGTTAATGTTTATTTAATTAAATACAAAGTAAACCCATACATTGAATAACAATTAAAAACAAAACCCAATGGTAACCACAATTAAAAAAAGAAAATTAAAAATATACCAATTTTTAATAGAAAAAAATTCAAAAGATGTTGAAATTGATTTAAAAACAAGCCACAAATTAATTTTAATTCTTTGATAAAATTACGTATGAAAGTATCACCCCAGAGGAATTGACAGAATGCGTCTGTCATTATTTATAAGTTTAATACATTAGAAATAATAGAAGAACACTTCTTTACACTTGGAATTTTTATATTCAAAATTCAAGCCATAACAAATTTGAAAAATGTATTGACAAAGAAGCTACAATTGTAACTAGAATATAAGTTTTGTGGCCAGTTAAAAAAATATGACATCGAAACTTCTAATAATCACTCTGATATCATATACATTTTTTTTTAATTTCTCAATTTTGCCTTGTTCGACTGAAAGCTAACCTAAACTGGTATCTAATATTATTAAAATCTATTGATATACAATATTTTAATTCTAAAATATAATAAGGATAAAATAAGATTATGTACTTTATAAATAAAAAATGAAAACAAGGAAAAATTCATACTTATTTTTGAGATGAAGGCTTATATACATTTAAAGAATCCACTCTCAAATTGCATTTATAAGTATACACATTCAATCTATGTAAACGCAATAAAACAAAACAATAAAATTACAATTCTCATGAGAAAGTAAACTATTTGACTGACGAGAACTTTACTAAATTCTTATTTAATTGCAGTCAAAAAAAGCCAAATATTCAAACCTAATAAATTTGTTGTTTTTACAAATAAATACTACACGAGACGGGCTGACCCTGTGCGGACCTATATATACAAATATATTTCAATCAATAGATTTAAAAAAAAGAACAAGACTCGAATAGGTTTCCAATCAATTTGATTGTCAACTCTCTTGAATACATCAAATTAACTCTAAGAATTGTCATTGATTGGCAACCCATTTATAAGGATTTTTTGAGCCAGGGTGTGAAAACTCGCAGCCAACTTTTGTGCAAGATGAACCAAATCGACAAGGCTGGAAAAAAGTTACAAATCAGCACGACTGAGAAATTTGGATTATTTATGTTTTAAAATTTACCTTAGGAACATGAAGAAAAGGACAGAATGGTTTTGTACATTTAGGATAATATATACATATTTGGGAGCTGGATGTCATTACTGGAGCCAACGGAGTTCTTACAGGCACTAGAAAAAAATAAAAATTAATTTCATTAACATAATTTACAAAAATTGGTTTAGCCATACCTTTAGGTTTAGGAGTGATTGAAGTATGTGTATAAGGACAGTTTGTATTCAGACATTTGTCTGCAAATTTACAAGCTGGGTGTATGAAAAGGCACTTGTCACCGAAAGCACAAGACGGAAACATCCTGAAACATAAACAAAATTGAAAATGCAAAACCTTTTCTGTTATACCTTTCACCCAACTGTATTTTATAAAAATTCACCTGCAGAGGGTTGTTGGGTGAAAGAAAGGGCATAATTCTCCAGAGTCGCATTCTGGCCAGAATTTACACCTAGTCTTGTTTTTTAAACTTTCAACAGTTTCACTATCAGCTACTGATATATCCATCGGTGACATTTCTTCACTCGTACTCTCCAATTCAGCTAAAATGCCAGAATTATTAATTATTATTGTTGATAAAATTATTATTTTTTTTATTGAGACGTCATACTGACAAGTAGAATGGAAATTGATCGGATCGTTGACTTTAGGACCTAGTCTGCTACGGTCAAAAGGTTGTTTAACCGGTATTTTAAATTTTTCTTCTTTCACAGTTTCCTCTGGAACTTCTTTAAGTTCAGGCTCTTCTTGCTCGGGTTCAACTTTCCCCATGTCCACATCACCTTCGATCTCATTATCAGAAGTTGTACTGTCTAGAGTAATTATAAACCTTTTATCCGTCCTGGAAAATTAAAAAAAAAATCAATACGTGTTTATTATTTAAACTGTAAAAATTTGTCGTACTTTTCCTTTTTTGCACCATTTGTGCCATTTTTAATAGCTTTTTGCTTTGAGAGAAATAAATCCTGGCTGTCCAAACTTTCAATATAATCCTCTGAAATAAAAAATGTATTATGGCTATTTTATTATAACAACTTAATAATGTAAAACTAGTTTCAATTAACAAAAAAATTTATTTAATTAAAAAATTTATTAAAGGCTTGCTAATAAAAAACATAAAAGAGTAATAGATTTAATAAGATATTTGATTTACAAATGAATAATTTCTGGACCAGATGTTTACTTTTCAACTTATCATCTGTTTAGTGTATTTTTCGTTATTATTATTATTATTATTATTTATAAAAATTTCCAACTGGTAAAAAAATTACAGCATGAATTTGAAATTAATTACCTGAATCCACAACCATAGAAATGGAATCGTCTTCTGTTTTCATATTTTCAAGTTCATTATTGGTATTGCTTTCTAAAGACAACTGTGAATTGTCATTTGGTTCTGGAAATGGGTCTACAAAGGAGAAACAACCATAAATAATATAATGTAGGGATGATAAAACAATTTTTTTTAAACAAAGTTAACAATTAATTTGATTTACCTGGTTTATTAGATGAAACTCTGTCGTTAAGTAGAGTAACGGAAATGTTGCCTTTAACGGCATATTCCAAATGGCGTCTAGGCTTTGTTTCCTCAATAACAGGATCAATCTGTACAAAAGTGAAATAGTTCCTTTTAAAAATTTACTTTATTATTTTTTAAAATTTTGAAATCTTTACTAACCATTTTTTGGTGAATCTTTGATGTCGCAATAGATTTTTCAGCATCAGCTACTGCTCTGAGGATCAGATTGCAGCTTGGTTGCATATTTGGTGGCCTTATTGGTCTCGGCGTGACCTTAACAAGGCTGGGCACAGTGGGAGGTGCCTTTTCTGCCTCCCTGAACACCGTTTTCAACACAGAACTCAAAACCTTCTCCTTCTGTTCCAAATATAAAAAAAAGTAATGATTAGAATGATAAATAGTGGCAAATTAAATTTAGAAATGATAAACAAAACTATGATATTGTTTATTTATACGTTATACAATCTTATAAAAATTGACACATATTGTACAAAACAAATTAATTTAGTATAACTTACATTTTCCCGATTTGGTTTTTCAATAACAGAAGTTGGTCCTGTTTCTTGTCTTTTTCTCCTGTCATTAGACACCTTTTCAACACCTCTTTTTGTCAAGATATCCCTTGCATCTATCAATTTCTTGGACTTTGGACTTTTACTCCTCCCTCTGTATTTAGATTCTTTCTTTGCATTGTCATCATCAAAATCCCGTCTCCATCCTTTGTGCCTCTCTCTACTTTTACTCCTCCGGCTGCCCTGAGAAGGAGGCCTCTCTTTTTTCGATTTCATTTGCGTGTCCTTGTTGTCGCTCTCCTCCCACACAATTTTAATCCTTTCCCTTGGTTTTGTATTTTCAATTTGAGCGGTATCTCTCCCCTTAGTGGAGATAGCGTTATCTTCCTGCTGGTTGTCACTGCAAGCCCTCAAGCTTTCTGTGACTGGAATCTGAGAGGCTGTCATCATCATTGGTAAGTAATTAGATTTAGCAGTCTCTTCTGTAAATAATATTTTAAAAATTAACACAATTAGATAGAAAATAACCAATAAAACACAAAATAAATCATTACCAAACTCCAATTCTAAGTCAGATAATGAATCTCCTTTTGCTGCATCTTAAAAGTAAAATTAAAAATTAGCATTATCTCCAAACAGAATTATTTTAAGATTAATCCTTACTGTCAGAAGCCAACTGTGATCCATTAGAATGGACGCTGAGTTCTTGACTATCATCGGCTTTAAATTTTTTAATACTGCTTTCATCACTATCGAAATCAATGGACCTTCGCCTAGTTCTAGATTTTTTTTCATCCATTTTCTTCTTCGAAGCTGGAAAACAAATTTAATTCAGCAATGATATTCAATTCAGCACGCAAGTCTGACTTACTTTTAACTGAGCTAGTAACTTTCTCTAGTTTTTTTAGCACTTCGTGAAGCCAGTTTGTAAATAGTTTAGTGTTCTCCCCTAGAAAGAGAAGCAAATCTTCTTCCATTTGTTTTTGCGTCTTTTTATTTGCAACCAAAACCATAACATAATCTGGGAGTTCATTGTCTATAAACAAACATGTTAATAATTACTTTGTGACAATGAAAATATTTTTTATAAAAAAGTTTTTTTTTAGAGGGAGGGAGGATAAATGTACAATAGGCATAGAGTATTCTACTCCTTAAATTCCAATATTTACATGTGTTAAGATAACATTCCATTATTTATTAAGGCTTTTACTTTTATCAAATGTAATGAAGAAAGTATGGATAGTTAACTAAACAGAAGAAAGTCCAAGTGCAAAAATTATCGGATCGGGTTGGTTAAGAGACATCAATGATTTCATTTATGGATTATTAACATCAAATAGTAAATAATGCCACGATGAAAGCATTGAAATGCAAAATTGCGGCCTGTGTAATTATTCTAATGATGAAAAAATCTGTATGGATTCGAGAGTGGGGTTTGAGACGTCAAAAAGTCGGTGCCTGCAATGAATTAATGTCTGAGTTTTCGAATTTTTTAAGAATGACTTGCTGTAACTGTGATTTTTAGCATCTGGTAAGTTTTTTATGGCCTTATGATAGATGCATATTAGCCAAGGAGCCGATTATTATGCATGTATTGGGGGGAGGAATATTGTGAAAAAAAGGCTAGAGGCAAGGGTGAGAATAGAACGACTGCAGGGTATATGAGCCAAGAGTCTCTCTCGCTAACCATTAAATAAACTACTAATAACACTACTATTAAATTTTTTAAAAAATTTAAATTCGTTTTTCTATATTGCAACCACTCTTTTTTGTCACTCATGTTTATGCGACATTTATTGCAATGGAAGAACAGTAAACGAATGGCCAACTTTTGTGACAAGTGTTTTTGAACTTGCAACTAAGCGGTGTTTACATATATTGGTATAGATGTGTCAAATACGTAGCAAATGGTTGAAATATATATCACTGACAAATTCTTCGTTGTTTATATAGCCACGATTTCTGTCTGTCATAAATATCGTGCAATAACTGTCAGATGTAAATGTACTTTAACTTCCAAAACTAACTAACACACAGGATGATTGGAGATGAACAAGCATCTAAGTTGCCATTTTGAAATGTTCCAAAATAGTGATATTTGCTTGGTGTTAAAGAATAACAATAACGTTTCAATATGAGATTTTTCTGGGTTGTCTACAAAGTGATAAGGTTTAAATTTGGTGGTTACCAATCATTTTGGTGTGCCACTAGCAGTTTCGAACAGCTTTTGCCATTTTCTTATAAGTTCTTTTTTTGACTAACTTATTATATCTCTGCTGGTCAATTGAGTGTCAAAGGGAATTCATTCAATGGTTGCTAACTTGCCTAAATGATCTACTTTTTCGTTGAAATGTATGCCTGCATGCCTTTTCACCCAGCATATGCTCACGGTTTTTCCTCGCTCAGTTAAATTATATATTTTTCTCACAATTCCTATTAGAAAGTACTCATGTCTGGTATTGATCTTAAAATTGTGGAATTGAGATACCGTGTTCAAGCTATCAGTCATTATCCCGATTTTTGTACATTCGGATTATTTGAAGAATATTCCAATGCTTAAAGGATTGCTATTCCTTCTGCTGTGAAAGAGCTGCATAGATTCAGCAGGAGGTACTTAAGTCATTAAGGCTATCATAAAAAGCACACCCCACGGATCCATTAAATTTTGAGCCGTCAGTAAAAATGAGACAGTAATCAGAAAAAATTTCGAACCTATCCGCTGTAAATAGCTGCTCTGACATATTAGAATGCCATATAAGCACTCTACGTTGCATTACAAGGTACATTAAAACAGAGGCCTGCATGGACGGAGTCTCGGGTAAAAGCTAGTCCATCTATAAATATAACTCTTATTGCAACTCGACAAATATATTCTTATATAAAGCCTAGCCCTATCAAATAGCCATGGTTCTATAGAGTAGACTAATTCTATTGTGATTATGTTTCAGCATTACAGTCCAGCAGTAAAGTCAGTGATGTTTGAATCCAATAGCCCTGATTATAGATGTTTGTCTATTTCTGAAGGCGATGAAAATTAATCGTAACTCGTTAGGGACTGAAGATAGGTATAGGGACTATACATTGGAAGTTGTTGCAAATAGTATGTATTATCACTGAAAGAAAATTTTCCCACTTTTTCTGGGATTCCTGTATATATATTTATAGAAATTTACCTACATAATGAGCTCTGATATTTACCTATATGAATTCCTAGTTCCATTAGCTTTGCCTTAATGGCAGACTGAAAAAAAAAATTAAAAATTAAAATTAGAACATAGTATGCAATTACGAATCATTATCTAATAAAACGGCAATTAATGAAGCATCATTAGAGGGACTGTCATTCCAAAAGTGATTAATAACTTATCAAAGATAATAAACAAAACTTTTGAGTTTACCTTCACTGTTACAACCTTTGGCTGAGAGTCATAGTGTTAACAAAGTAAAAAAGTACATTGTATAGATGAATAATTATATTATTCCGCTCTTTGATTGGTTACAGTTAATTAATTAAAGAAGAAGGAGCACACTGAAAGATTTGGTAAGTATTGTTCAATTGGGTACGTTTATTTCTAAAAATAGTTCCTCTTTGTAGTTTTAATTTAAATATTTTTTGTGACAAAGAATTCACAAAACGTGGCAAAAAACTCGACAATCTACTGCATGATATATTTCATTTAAATTTGTTTAAGTAAACTAGTGTTACGTTTGTATTTTTGTCTTCCTTTCTTTACGTAATGCGACTTTTTAATTGTTAAACGGTCTGCAGACTTTCGACTCGATGGTAGAAAATGTAAATAGTTGTAAATTTAAAAGAGAGTATTTCACATATTGCAAAGGTTTGTAAGGTGAAAGTTGTCTCTTCGCTCGAGTTTGATTGATATTATAGAACATCGGGAAATTCGAATTGTCTTGAAATGTGAGGAAAATTTTACAAACCGGTTGAAATTCATATGAGAAAATTTAATAAGAAAAGAGAAAATAGATTTTAAGGAAGTGGTACAAATCGTCGAGTATACCTTGACTTTCTGGCCGACTTCTTCTCCGAGCCTACCGACCTTCATAGTTGATCCTTGGCTGAAAAGACGTCCGAACGGGAGAAATTAAAATTATTCGCTTTCTCAACGGTTAAAAAAAACTTAAAACTTGTTTTTCCCCAGTGTTTTATCCATTATGTTTGATGTCGAACATTCTTAACCTCCCGGAACTGTTGCCGTGCGGCTCTCTAGTCTCTGGTGACGAGATCGTACGGCGGCTCGCCGCTCGGGCCGGGTGCCCCTCCAAAATTTCGAATTTTTTCCACCCGACAAAAATTAAAAAAAAAAGCGTGCTCACGATTTAATTTTTGGATCAACTCAAAGTCGGACAAAATTTTGGATCTGTCATGTTGAAACACAAGGAGACGCTACATACATAGGATCTCCGATTTTAATGAGACCTTAAAAATTTCTAGAAATCCAAGCAAACCATCCCCTTGCATTTACTGATGAGTAGAAAAATTCAAATGGAGTGGGAGCTGCCTTTACCTCCGATGCCCAAATGTCAATAGAAAAGTATTGGGTTTGTGCAAAATTACTGCATGCTTTGAAAATTTATTAGTATTTTTATACAAAACATTTTAGTTTATAATGAATTTTATAAGAGGGAGGACCTGCGAAATTAAGTATGTCCAAGATAGATTTTCGTCAAATTTCATTGGACGAATTTAAACTCGGGCGAATTGTGGCCCAAACCGAGCGTAACATCAGTAGAGTTTGGGAGGAGGGAAGCATTAGCGAATAATTTCAGAGATTTCGTCTTGAAATTTTAATCTCGAAAGCAAGGAAGGTCGCGGTAGGCCTTTCGTTGTGGAGACGACTACTGAAAACATTGATTGAAGAAAATTAACTAAGACATCGCGGGAAATTGCTGAAGAGCTTAGTGCTGACCTCTTAACCGTTGTTCGCCATCTGGAGCAAATAGGTAAAGAAGCTCGACAAGTGGTACTGCGCGAACTAACCGTCGCCCAAAGAAATCGACGCTTTGAAATTCGTCTCTTCTGTTGCGCCACCAAAATGAATCATCATGTGCGATGAGAAATGGATTCTGTACGATAACAGGAGGCGTTCAGGTCGGTGGTCAAACAAGGATGAAGCGCCAAAATACTTCCCTAAACCAAATCTGCAGCCATCACTATAATTTCCAGAATTATGGTGAAACTATCACAGCAGAGAAATATTGCCAAGAAATGTACAAAGTGCAGCTTCTTTGTCAAGCATTGGTAAACCGTAAGGGGTCGATTCTTTTTCATGATAATGCCGTGCCACACGTCGCGATGCCAACCCTCGGAAACTTAAGAACTTAGGATGAAACCTTACCGAACCCTCCATATTCACCGGACTTCCCATCTATAGACTCACTTTTTTTGGTATTTTGATCACTTCTTGAGGGACGACATTTTTAGAGAACGCGGTAAAGCATGATCATAACTATGCAGATCTTCGTCGACCTCCATTTCTTTCAAGATTTTCGAGTCATCAATCTTTTGAAGAAGGAAATATTGTTTCGTTATCTTGGACTGTATGAATTTGGGTGTAATAATTAAAACTAGAGGGGAATTATTAAATCTTAATTATGTGTTAGGAAAGAAAATGAGGATATATTCTCTTGATCGTTGTTTACTATTAAAGAGCAACAGGAATTTTTTTTTAGTTTAGATGTTTGACCTGTCGGATGTATCCTTAGTTAATCTTTTAAATGGAATTCATTGGCTAAATTTAGTAAATTATGTAAAGGAAGCTTCACTTTACAGGATGTTTTTAGTTTAAAATTTTAATTACTAATCAAGTAATCTTTTTACTTTTCTTTGAGTCTTGTATTCATTGTTAGCAAAAGAAACTAAATTTTATTTTCTGTTTTGATGTTAGTTTAGTTCATGTTGAAGGTAAATGTTTGGTCATTGTAATTATTTTTGTGTTGTATTCCTGACGGTTATTGTTTCTTTTCTTTTTTTATTATCACTTTTGCATTTGTTCATAACATTGTAAATAAAAGTATATATTTATCTATCTATCGTTCCTTCTTATTCGATGAGATCTCGAATGATGGATAATCCAGTAGCTTCATTAGAGTGCTCGCTTAACTGGTCTTGAAATCGTTCCCAAAGCATAGGTGCATCTAATTTTCCACTCATTATTCAATAAACAAAGAAATCTCTCAATCTATTTTGCATATTTATTGAAGCAGCATCGCTTATCATTTCGAACACAGAATTTTTGTATTCGCAAAATCCCGCCGTTCTCGCTGCCTCCTGAGATCTCATGATAAAAAAAAACTTCCGTAACTTCGAGAATTGTAATCCGTTTTTAGCGATTTTTATTTTCGATTGGTATAATATGGTTTTTTAAAGTGTAAACTGAGAAAATAGTGAGATAAGTGAAAAATTCACTCCATATTTTTCTTTTTCTGCACCATTAAAATCGTTCATGTCCTTCTGTCTCCCACTTCAGCCAAAACTTTTTCAATATTTAAAAGCCCTCCGTGTCCGCTGCACCAATAGACATTGTCCTCCACAGTAGAATTGCAATCCGACAGCTAAAAGATGGAAAGGAGCGAACAATGGTAAATTTGGATGCGTCAGATAGGAAATGGCTACGAACTACACCTAGAAAGCAGATCCGGGAGATCCTTACAGTTTGGATAGACAACTCGTTGCAGGAAAGATGGGACAGAAGCACCAGGGGAAGGTTAACCCACGAGTTTCTACCAGTATTGAGGACCGAGCAAGAGCAAAGTGGTTTCAACCAGATTTCTGGATCACACAAATAATGACAGGTCACGGAAATTTCAATGCTTACCTACACCGATTCCGTAGAGTCAACAGTCCACTGTGCCCCGACTGTGGAGTTGATGACTGTCCAACACAGACTATTCAACTGCCCTCTCCTTGAGAGTGCGAGGGAACCTCTAAAGCTCCTCTTCCGCCTCACTTTACCACCGACCCTCAACGAACTGGTTAAAGAAAAGAGGTCCTTTGAGGTCCTCAAGCCTGTTAGCCGAGCTATAGTCGACAATGTACCTGACTAGTTTTTTCTTTCTTTCTTTTTTTTTCTTTCATCCTATGATAACTAAGTTACTTGTTAGATCTTAGCGTTTCCCGGAATTTTTAATTCCGGGCTGGTTACTCGTTGTACCCATAATTATTAGTTATTTATTAAAATATTGTATATACATATATTTTATTAGAAAGTGTATTTAAAAGGATTAACCAGCAAGGGGGAGACCTATTAGAGTAAGTAAATTAATAATAAGCAAAATATTTCCCTCCTTCCTTGGGTCTTCCCTTTCAGGGCAAGGTCGAAGGAACCAGGAACCGTTAAGCACAATAAGATCTCCGGTATGGGGTCTCCCTTAGGTACGACGGGGAGGTGGATGGGTTTAAAAAAAAAAAAAAAACTTCGAAGCAGAATAGAAATTACGATAACATGGTATTATCCTTACAATTCTGCATAATCGGTTATTAGTAAATGTAACTTACAGATTGTGTATTTCTTTTCAAGAATTTTTAATCTTTATTACCAAAAAGAACTGCTGTGTCTATTGATTATTTTTTTATTTACTCAACAAAAAAGTTTTATATTTTTTCCTGTTGATGAGATATATTTTATGTGAGGAAGAAAGCCTAATATATTGTATTTTTCGTTAAACACACCTTCACATAGGACAAAAGAGATAAAGGACTTAGTTGTACTGACTTGTAGCATAAAATGGAAATCATGGAAGACAAATACTGATAACAAATTCTTACTCCCTGTTTCCCTGATATTGACACACGTACGGAAAACCGAAGGCAGATAATGAGATTGATTGTGTGTGGGAGAAAGAGAGATTGAGAGAGAAGAGAGAGAGAATTACGAGAGAGAAAGAGAGAGAGAGAGAAAAAAGAGCCTTGGTGTATTTTAACAATTGCAGTTCGAATCCGCAAGGTACATTCAGTCGGATGTTTACCGAACGTTTGTGTTCGTGAGTGTGGTGCGCGCGAATTTGTAAAATACATACACACGTATAAAATTTAAATTTACGTTGAAATTAAACATTGCTGAAATATCGAGGAACGTTATCGTTTTTTTTTTATATTTATGATTGATTAAAGTTAATAACAGTCATTTTAATCAATGTAAACAAGAGAAGTGCTTATTTTTTTCTTAATTAATAATGGGGCAAGCTAAGATTCTTACGAACTTCAATAATCCTATGGAAGATGATCGAATATCGAAGGAAAAACGGTAAATAACCCTACATTTAGTATAAACATTGTGACAAAAACGTATTACGGATGAATGAAGCTTTAGTTTATTCCAGTAAAATCTTTTTATAAACCTGTAGATAAAAATCGGTAAAGGCCCTGTTTCCTACTGAATTTCCGGCGGCGAATAATATTATTCTTTCGCTCCCTTTTCAAAAAACATTATCTTTCGATGAATTTTTCGTCTTCGGCGTTATTGTTTTTTTTAAAATATTTATAATTGATTAAAGTTAATAACAGTCATTCGGCCGTTGGGCTTCTTTCATGAATGAGGGTTGTACTTTCGTACGAAAAAAAAATATATTGCAGGTAATTTTGAACGTTGAAAAGATTTTAAGAAGGGGTTATCAATTAGCCACCAAAAAACGATTTTCCCCCAAAAATAACCCCCAATAATAATATTGTACGTTCAAAATAATTAATTATTACCCTAAATATACTGAACTATTCGGAAATTCGATTATTTTGCCCAATATGCCATGATATGATGTGTACAGAAAAAACGTCTTTTTGGAATTTTTTTAAGAAGCAAAAATAATAACATATTTTTATAGTTATTATCAAAATATCAATAAATAAGGAAACAAGCCGAAACATTATAAGAAGTTAATAAATCTCTGCGGAAAGGTCTGTATGAATGTTATGCCACGTAATGACCTAATATGTTTCTACGGAGAACTGTCAGTCTGCTGATATATTCAAATTGCCTTTGCTTATTAGATCTATTATAAAGTTGCAATAGTGAAAATAAGATGTCAAACAAGTTGGATTAATTCATGAAATGGGAATGAATGTACCGGAGTAATAGCTTAACATTTTTTAATTGAGATAAAAAAGTCAGTGCCATGAGTGGGATTCGAACCCACGCTTACGCCGCTACTCTACCACTTCAGGTATCGTGACTTCGATCCACTCGGACACCAACTTCCCGTCTCAAC